CCTGCTGGTGTCAATAGGTTTTGATGGTATGATTGGCCGCCCTGAATCTTGCTGGTGTCATGGCGTTTTGCAGTTGCGCCGGCCGCCCTGAATCCTGCTGGTGTCAATAGGTTTTGATGGTGTTGATTGGCGCTGTGCGCTTGAATCCTGCTGGTGTCATCAGACTTTTTGATTAGTATGGTCGCGGCCAATGCCGCCGCCTGAATCCTGCTGGTGTCAGTGACTTTTTGGTGGGGGGTTGCCGGCTCTGTTCTGCACGATTGCATGCTGCATGATTGGCGCCAGCCGCCTGAATCCTGCTGGTGTCATCAGATTTTTTAATTGGTATGGTCGCGGCCAATGCCGCCGCCTGAACCTGCTGGTGTCAGTGGATGTGATTGGCGCTAGGCGCCTGGATTGCCATTTCATTTTCATTGGGTGTTGCTACCAGCCGCCCGAATCCTGCTGGTGTCAGTGGACTTTTTGATTGGTATGGTGGCCGCCAATGATGCAGCCGCCCGAATCCGGCAGGTTGTTAGTTTTAGAGTTGTTGCATTTTGCATGATTGCGTATTGCATCGATCGGCGGCAGCCGCCTGAATGCTGTTGGTGTTACACGTTCAATTTGTTGGTTATTGCATTGATTGGCGCCAGCCGCCTGGAACCTGCTGGTGTCATCAAACTTTTGATGGGGGTTGCCAGCGCTGGGGTTATTGCATTTTGCATGATTGTATATTGCATTGATTGGCAAAGCAAGGGGTGCGTGAAGGCGAGAGTGGTGCGCATGCATGCCTGTGCCGGCCGTTAATACATACCGGGCGGCAATTGCAGTCAGCGGCACTGTTCGTGGGCTGCTTTTGGGGGCGACCACGTTTTCTAAGCTTGCACAACTTTCTCCACGGACGACGTGTGGCGATGGCAGTATATATATGCAGTGGACTCCAGCACTCACTGCATTGCATGCGGCATGCGTCGTCCAAGCAAGGAGTTGGGCAGCGCCGATAATGCATTGATTGTTTTGGCCCGTACTTCGCCACAGCATTGTGAGTACTATGTCTGGTCTCCTGAGATTTTATGGGGACTTTCCCAGCAAGACGCTTGCTTCACAAAATAGGGGCAGCACGTTTTGATAAGTGGCAAATGGTGTGGGTGATGGGTGGGTCCGAGCGTCGCAAGAGCGCAGTGGCGCCAGCCCTGGCATGAGTATTCTTGACATATAAACATGTGTGTCATCATGAAAACCCCTCCTTGGACGCGATGGTGGGAAGAGAGACGCGTGGCGGTTCATCGATTAGTGGGGATCCAGCAGTGTGATTGGGGCGGTGCACCGACTCCCGCCAGTTCACACGTGCAACGCGCGAGCGTCACAGCAGCCAAGATGATGCTAGGATCAGTTTGAGCGGAAAAAGTCATGCTCCATTCCTCACAGATTGCGAGATCATGAACTTAAATCGGGATCGGGTGTGCGTGTGAAACAGCACGTATTGGAATGGAGTGGAATCACATCACAAAAGGCGACTTGTTCCACCCGTGTGCGGAAATGGGATGTTTGTCGACTGACACTGACGCACTGTTGACACTGACGCACTCTCGGCTCGTGTGCGCGTTTTCATTCCGGTTTGACAGCTGAAGAACACCTTCGCATCGACTCTGTGACACATACAGTTTTCATGTACATGTGATAGTCGTCCGTCGGTGCACCAGTCGCCAAGGAGGACTCGTGGCGGTGTCATACGGTAGATGATCTGCAACAGTACGGTAGCATCATAGACTTGTGGGCCAGCCGCGCGCGGGAGCTTGCTGATTGGTAAATTAAGAACAAAACAAGAGAAGAAACACGTGCGCGTGTGGGAGCAGGTGGTGGCGCGACTCGCCGCAATCGGCCGCATGTGCCCATTGCGTGTTGACATGGACGCAGCCGCGGCCCCCGCCGCCCGTGCCGCATGCCACACGCAGCACGTGCGCACGCACCCGCATCATCCCGCTCTTGCATGTGCGCCCCGCCTCGACGACCTCCTGCCCGGCTTTCCCCGCACATGCACCCCCCCAATCTGGCAGTTGCAGTTGCACAGCAGGACTACCGGCATGCCGTCCGAGGCGCGCTCAGCTCGTCAGGCAGAGCTTGAAAGCGAGCATCATGCAAACCGTGAGCCGCCGCGCGTGCGTCCACGAACATGCGCGCGCAGATGCGTTTGCGCGCGTGCCCCCAGCGCCAGTCCCATGAGCATTGCAACGCGCCGTGCCCATATACTGAAGTAATCAGTCCCCACATTCCGCGAGCACCAGCAGTGCCTCCGTCCTGATCCCGCGCCCCCCGCCCGCGCCCTGCTGACCCCACTACTCGGACCCCCCCCCCCAGAGCTCGGCGCCGCCGTCAGCCAGCTGGCGCGCAGCGCGGACCCCGCCGCGTGCACGCGGGCGGCCGGGCATCTGCTCAACACGGTCGAGCAGATCGGGCCGCGCGAGGTCCCCTCCTTCGAAATCTCGATCCTTTCCCCGACCGGCGACACCGAGCTCGTGCAGCTCAAGGTGCTGGTGCCCGCTGGGACGTGCCTGTACGTAAAGTACAAGGGGCAGTACGCGCCCGTCCCCTCCCTGCGCAACGCGCTCGACCTGGAGGTCGCGCCGCCGGCGCTGCCAAGCCCCCACACCCCGCCAGTCGTCCTGGCCGCCGCGCGCGAGGGCAGGCGCTGCACGCTGGGCCAGCTGATCTTCGGCGGGGAGAAGTCGGACTCGACCGCCAGGCGGCTCGCCAATTGCTACGTCATCCTGCGCCGCCTCGAGCAGGCCGGCGTCAACGGGCCGCCGCAGGCGCTGCTCAACGCGCTGGCGGAGTGCAGCTCTGAGGCGCGCGCGCATCCGTTTGTCATGCCCGCCGTCGTGCGCGCGCTCGCCGTCGCGGTGGACGGCGACTGCGCCGGCGACGCCGCCGGCCAGGCGGTCGCCGAGGCGGCAGCGGCGGCGGCGCTGTCGGGCGGCACGATCAGCGGAGCCAGCCTCGCGACGGAGCACCGCATCAGCAGCAGGCTCGTGCAAGCGGCCGTCGCCGCCTTTGATCAGGCGGCGGCAGCAAACGGTTGGCCGTCCGACGCCACAGCAACGGCCGAGGTCGCGGGGCGGGCGGCCGTGTCGGCTGTCCGCATGAGCCGGGAGGCTGGCCACAGCAGGCGCCGCAGGCGTGCGGAGGCCCCTTCTGATAACGGCTCGGACTGCCAGGGCGAGGGAGGCGGCAGCAGCGGGTCGGGCGGCAGCAGCGGCGGCGAAGACGGCGACGAGGACTTTGAAGGCCGCCCCCACCGCACGCGCCCTGGCAGGGGCTCGGCCAGCGGCGGC